AATTGACTTGGGTGTTTTGCGTTTTATCGTAAATGTTGTGGATAGCAAGAGTCGCCATCGACTTTTATTTTATCCAATAAAGGAAAGAGTTAAAATAACATAAAAGACCTTTTGAGATATTTTCTTGATTTCGGGAGGTAGGTTATGAAAAGGGAAGGTGTTAGCACCCTTTTCATCTGTAGTTATCTACGGGCTCTTAATTGCTAGTTCACTTTGAAATGCTTTGTGTTTGTGTAAGTTTGAAAATATTTTGAAAAAAATGCTTAAGTTCGGAAAACTTTGTAATGATTCTCGTATCGTTGAGAATGTGTACAAAGTGTTGGTTTTGAAAATATTTGTTGAAAATGAGTGTTTGAAAATATGTTTTGAAGATGCCAATGTAAGACAATTTTGTAATGATTCTCGTATCATCAAGAATGTATATAAAATGTTGTTTTTGGAAAGTGTTTTGAAAGTGTGAGGTGTAAAGATTATTTTATTTTGTGAGCAAGCAATTACGAGCGATCTACCTACTCAAAAAAGTCTTTGTTCTTTTCCTCCTCCTTTAGATAGTGCTATTTTTATCACTGATTGGTAGAGAGCCATATCATTAGATGTGAGGGGGGCGCGAGTCATCATACAGTCATAGAAGGCAACTTGTAGAATGTTTTAGAAATTGTCATAAGAGACTAAGATCGTTTACCGAAGGCAACATCAAAGGTTCATTGAGGGACTACAATTTTATAATCGAGGGTCTTTGCTAAAACATCCCACGTTCGAGGGACATGACTGTTTTTATCCGAGGAAACAAGTGTGGGTTACCCTAGAGGTACATCTGTGCAAAGTGTGTTTGTTTTCATGTATTTTTATCTTGAATTAGGGTTTTTCTATGGTTGGTTTTAGTCTTGTCATACAAACCCTAATTACTATCATTATTGTGGAATTTAAATGTCTTACGCTATTACAACGCTTTGGGAATGGGGGTACAAGTTTTTGAAATGGAGAGAAAAGCAATAAAACCTAATTATCTATTACAAACCATTGAATCATGAATAATGATAGAACTCACAAAATATAAAGATGAAGAAGAGAAAAAGAAATTGTTTTTGTGGTTTTTGATGGGAAAAGTTTAAAGATTAACCTAATTAAACTAATTAGTTAATCAAAACAAAAACCTAAAATCTATGTTAATTAACTTAATTAAATTAAAAGGAAAATAAAATGACAAAACCTAAGTCTAATTTAATTGTTTAAAAAATAACTTAGATGTCAATATTAATAAAAGAAAATGTTTTACAATGTGAAAGAAATAATAAAATTTAATTTAATTACAAAAATTAAAGTGCTTAAATTGAAATATTTTTAATTTAATTATTTAAGAAAATATATATTTGTATTTTTGGTTAAGTAAAAATAAATAAAGAAAGAAAATATAAAAAGTATAAAAAATAGTTGGGTCTAAGTGTTAAAAATAAAAAATGAGGCGTTGGGTCCAAAAAGTCAGTTTTTGTTTGATGCTGAAAATATAAAAAATAGAGTGGGCTTGCGTAATTAGTAGCAAAAGGGGAGGTGTGAAATCAAAAATAAACCAGACCTAGAATAAAAGTTCAGCTCCTGTATGGATCATGTGTGGCTAGCCCTTTGGAGGTGCATTATGCGCTTGCTTTGTGGAGTGTTGGATGAGATGACTAGCAGATATGATGGTCCAGTCACAAGGATGTATGGCATGCATGCTACACTTGATGTGCTAAATCTGCAAGGAAATAATGTGAAAAAAACAAAAGGGTACCACTGGGGATCGAACTCAGGTCCCTAGTAACAAATGCCTTAGCGTGCGCTTCCCTACCATTGGGATGACTGTTTCATCCGTTTATAATATAACTTCAACTAAATATAAAATAAACTCGTTTCTGAACATGACTTCACCCATAACCTCGTGCCAGTCACCATTGTCACATTTTTGAATTTCTGATCTTGCTCATTTCTCAACCATTTTAAAAAATGTAAACATAAAAGTTGTTCCATTTTTCACCATAAATTCAACCATATAAATTTCATAAACTATAAATCAAAGACGAATGAGAATTTTGTTGGTACCAAATAAAAACCTTTTTTTTTCTCCAGAAATTCCAACTTCAAAATTCGCATCACTCAGGCAACATAAATGAAAACTAAAGGCATGGTTAGCTTCAGGGCAATGATGTCTACATTTTTCATTCACAAAGTAACCATTAATGATGCTTGTATAAGGAGTTCAAAGTTGAGAGAACTTACCTTAAAACTGGAAATCGTGTTTGGAGTTTGAGCATTTGTGGAGGTGTTGTGATGATCTGGATAGCTTCACTGAACTCCTAGGAAGTTATTGCAATGCTTACTTTGGATTGAAAGTGGCTAAATCTTTTTGGAGAAGTCAAGTTGCAAAGTTGAGTTGTGAAAATGGTGGATGATGATGGAAGGATTACATAAGTGGTTCAAGTGTTTGAATCACTTCTATATGGTGTATAGATGATGTTTGATTGATTAAAATGGAAAACGCACGAGTAGATTATGAGTTTGGTGTTCAAAGTCAGAAATGGAAAGCAATGGAGGTTTTGATGCAATTTCTGATTTCAGGGAGCTTGTGAGTGTTCCAAGGCTTGTGAATTCGTGTCTTAGCTTGCAAAAAAATTCTCTATTTATAGAGAAAAGGTTTTAGAGGCTCAAGTAATCAAAAATCAAAGATCACATGTTATGGTTATGTGACTTGATTTTGAAGCAAACATGAAACATATTGTTCCAATGCATAATATAAAGGCTCATATGGTGGCTAGAGGCTTTATATATGTTGTTTCTGAACATACATGTTGAATGTGTGCAGAGGGAGCAAGTGAGAGGCTCAAGAAGTTGACATTGTGATTAAAGTTGTCTTTTCTAAAATGGAAGTGTGAACTTTGTTCTATTAATGGAAAAATCACTTGGACAATGACTCAAATGATTGGACAATGGCTCAATCAGTTATGTACATATTTGATTATTGAGTGATTTACAAGTTTGGAGGTCTGTAAAGCAAGATTATGCAGCATGCTTGAAGATTTGATCATAAGGCTCATCATAAAATAACCGAAAATTCAAGTTTGTGATGCCATCTTCTTCTCTTCGAAACTTCTAGCTCAAGCACGATCTCTTCAAGTTCTTGGACATTTTGGAAAGCTTGAAATTGTTTACAACCTTCATGTTGACCACTTTGGCTAAATCAACTTGGAGCTTGACGGAAAATGGCCAAGAAGTTAAGACAAAAATCTATCTAAACTTGTTGAAAATTTCACTAAGTGTTTTGTTAAAAATGTCATGACTTTATGGGCCTATATTTCCAAATCTAAGCATTTTTTGGACTTCTCCCTCAAGGACCAAGTTGTATAATTCATCAAGATATATAACTTTCATGTTGAAACTTTTCCTTGAATCATCTTGCATCTTGGTGAAAAACTGTCATGAAGTAGTGAAATTATCAAGGTCAAAAAACACTTGGAATTTTTCTAAGTATTGAAAATCTTGACTTTTGTTGACTTTTCTTGACTTTCTTGATTCTTAATGATCAAGTTTGATATTTTTGAATGTGTTTATGGATTTTGATCTTTGAAATTCATTGTTGACCAAAAAGTCAAAGTTTGACTTTTTGTGTACCAATTGACTTTTTATCAATTGATCCAAATTTCAACTATCAATCCTTTGATCTTGAGAAATGATTTGAGCCATGAAATTAGGTCAGTATGTTGTGTTTGAGTCCTTGAAATCACGCTTTAAGCAATTAGGTCATGTACTAGGTCAAAAGTCAATGATCAATCATTCTCAGTCAAAACCCTAATTTTGACAATTTTGCCCCTTTGATGATTTGAATGTTTTCCTTGAGGAATTATGATCAAACTTTGATCAATTGATGAATATGATTTCAAAATGTTGATATTAGCAAAAAATCATGAAGTTTGACTGTATATTGACCACAATTGACTTTTTATCCAATATAGTTGATTTTCAATCATTTGAGCCATTGGCTGAGCAAATTTGTGATGCAAGACTTGAAACTTGGTATGAGCAATCTTAGAGACCTATAATGAACCATGAAAGTCACTTGAGGCATTAGAAGTCCAATTTTCCTTGAGAAAACCAAAACCCTAATTTGTAGGCTCAATGCTTAGGAGGTGAGCTTGTCTGATCAAACTCTTGAGAACCCTTGAGCATTTGAGATCTTTGTGAGAAATGTCTTGAGAAAAGGGAGGACAAATTTTGGAGTACAACATTTAGAATGCACTGAGGCCCACACACAAAAAATTTGAGGGTTATACCAATATGAATAACATAAAAAAGAAGGGTGCAAGTGAAAACCTTGAAGGATCAACAATGATAGACATTTCATCCCTCTCAAAAACTCACCAATTACCAAATTCCTTACCTTTTTGTGATCTCCTCTGACAAGCATCAAAAAATTTAATCAGATAATATTTTTTACAAGAACAAACTATACATAATTTGATTAAACTCTCGTATTACTTAGATTCTCGTAAGGTCGAATATGTAAATACATTAAAACAACCTTCTTTTTTTTTAAAGTTAGATTTTAGGAATAAACTTCAAGCACATTAAATTATCACAATATTTTTTTTTATTTGTTAAAAAAAAGAATTAAATGTTTATTTTAGAGATAAATATTAATGAATTTAACCAATGGGTTCTTGAGGTAATTTTCACCATCCATAGCACATGCTGTCCAACTGGCGCTAAAAAAATCGGGAAATTAACTTTTTCCCGGGAAACCAAAAAACTCCATTCCAAAAATTAAAAAAAAAAAAAAAAAAACTAACCAAAGCACCGCATATTTATATTCAAACAAACCGAAGAAGAGTTACATGTACCTTTCATCAACAACAATACTCTCACTTTCCACACTCTCACCACTACTATCCACTTCGGCAACTTCTCCGACCATCCCCGGCGGCCGATCTCATCACAAACCATGGCACCAGAATGAATCGCCTCCACTTCCGATGTCGCTCTCCTACTCCAACTTCTTCCTCGAAGACGACCTCCTATGCAGCGAGGAAACCTCCAGCATCTTGTCCGGAGGTTCTCCGGCGGATTGCTTCTCCGATCTCGATTCATTTCTGCCGCCGGAGGAAGAGTTCATCGCCGGGTTAATCGAAGATGAACACAAGTTCGTTCTCGGATTTGACTATTTCTCAAAGTTACAGTCTCGCACGATCGATGCATCAGCCAGAGAAGAATCCGTTGCATGGATCATAAAGGTAAAACTCCGAATCTAACCGTTTTTTCACAATCGGAGATTTATTTTCATTATGTTACAATATTTGCATCATTTTTTCTTTCTCATTTGAATCGGATTGCGATCTGGTGGATACAGGTACATGCTTATTACGGTTTTCAACCGCTCACGGCGTATCTCGCCGTCAACTACATGGATCGGTTCTTGAATTCTCGGCAGTTGCCGGTGAGTTCCGAGAAGTCCAATATCGTAATTTAAAGTAAAACTAAAGAAAATAAATAGACTAAAATGGAATACAATTACTGAATCTGCAGATGCATGTGCTGGAAAAAAAATTCTTAGCACTAAATTATCTATATGACTTCTGACAAAAATTATGCCTATGATTTTTCTCTAAAAAATGCGTATGACTTTTCTCATGTGAAGCAAAATTGCTCACGCCGCTTCATTATGATAAAAATATTTTAAATTATTCAATTAATTTAATTTTGATTTAAATGAGTTCAAATTTTATGGATAGGTGAAAAAAAGTTTTACATTGCACAACACGGTAAACCATGTGTTAGTAAAATTGATTATCAATATCATACATTTTCTTTTTATCGATATGACTGTTATAACTAATATAAGAAGTAAAAATTGGACTCAAATTTCGTTCCATTGCTTTAATATTTAACTATTGATATTTGAGATTTGAGATTTGATTAATTAATTTTGACCTCAATTCTTTGTTGGTCATAAGATTGACACACTATTTAAATGTGGACTAAAAAAAAGAAGAAAAAATTAAATAATATTTATCAAAATAATTAATAAAATGTAGTATTATTTTATGTAAATTGAAATTATTTTTATTAAGGGTTCTGACCTCACAGCTATTTCTTATCCCGTAGATATATGTATTTCAATAATGTGGTTTAAAGTGCGTACATAATATTATGTTATAAATGTTTTCGGTCACGTACAAAGTACAAACATTATAGGTGTCTAATAAATTCTACTTGCCATTTGTTTAGGAAAATGAGAGCAGTATCTCAACCATTTCTTATCGTAAAATAATTTTTTAATAACACACTTTTAAACATGATTTATATTGATTAAAATTCATATGCATTTTATTAAAATAAATGCATTTTATTAAAATAAATGCATTTTATAAAATAAACTTACATTAGTTAACTAATAAAAAAAATTAAAAACTTTTAGAGATTTTACTTCTTAGAGATTGTATTTCAAGAAGAGTATTATTGTTCTTTTTGTATACTTAGTTTTTGCAAAAGTCTAAACACAAGTAAACGGAAGTTCTTTTATTAAACTTTTAGTTTTGTAATCTATCTTTTAAATAATCTCGATTTCTCAATTAGATACAGAATTAGTAATACTTGTTAGGTAAACACTTCATTACTAATTTTTGTACTGAGTATATTCAATTATTTAAAGTTGATTATTTTTTATTTTTAAAAAAATTTAAAATATTTGAAACATTAAATAATTTTGTCCATATTAATGAAAAAATGCAAGTCAGATATTTACTATAGATAATGCATAGAATTTTATTTATAAAAAAATGTAAATAATCATCATTTTTTTAAATTAGTTTTATAATGATGAATTAAATTGAAATGTATATATTTTCTTGACAGGATTAGCTATTTACTATATTTAGTTATTTACTGGTTTAAGTCGCCTTCTATAATTATCAAGAATGATTTAAAACTATAAAATAAAAGAATTATTTAGAAGTGTATAGTTATATTTCGTACTATTATAACTCATCCTAATGATTTAGTTGAAAAATAAAAAGAATGACAGCTAGGTGATGTTTTGAGTACGTTACGTTATGCACGTGCATTGCGCGTGGGGAAATGCGCCCGAAAGTATGACGAGTTATTAGCGAATAAAATAATAATGATGGTTTTGTTCTTAACTTACTGTTTGACACATATAAATATGTTTACAGCAATCAAATGGGTGGCCACTGCAACTTCTATCAGTTGCTTCGTTGTCTCTAGCGGCCAAGATGGAGGAAACTATAGTCCCTTCTCTATTGGACCTTCAGGTATATATATTTATCTGTGTTGTCAAAAGAAAAGTATATATTTATCTATGAGTCGTATTCTTAGTACATTCTGCATTAAAAAGAATACATTAGTTAATTAAATTTATGCTTAACTCAAGTTTTGTCCTAAGCTATGTACTATTACATTGTATACTTGACAGTTCTTTATTCGAATAATTTAATTCAGGTAGAAGGTGCCAAATACATATTTGAACCAAGAACAATTAGAAGAATGGAGCTACTTGTTCTTAGTGTCTTGGATTGGAGGCTAAGATCAGTAACCCCATTTAGCTTTCTCAGTTTCTTTGCATGCAAGTTAGATTCCACTGGAATTTTTACCGGGTTTCTCATTTCACGAGCTACACAAGTTATTTTATCTCATATCCAAGGTAAGTTTTTTATTGTATTTTATGCATCTCCATTGTATATACTTTTGATTCCTGTGGCCATTTAAAGATATGAAATTTCAACTACGAGTAGTTGAGGTGGTTGAGAAGAATTAATTTGTGTCAACAAAATGATTCAAAGCACTAGTACTACTACTACTGCTAACTCTTTGTTTTCAAATTGGCAATACATTTTTGCAGAGGCAAACTTTCTTGCATATTGGCCATCATGCATTGCTGCGGCGGTTATTCTCTATGCAGCTAATGAATTTCCTAATTGGTCTCTAGTTAAGCCAGAGCATGCCGAGACATGGTGCGAGGGATTAAGAAAAGTAAGTGCATGCTTGAAATCATGATGGGCTTGACTAATTGTAATATTTAATTTGCCAAAGTTAATGTGGCATTGCAATAATCATGTTTTGAACTGTAGATGGTTTATTTGCAGGAGAAAATTATAGGGTGCTACAGGTTAATGGAAGAAGTTATGATTGAAAATAACCAAAGGAAAGCCCCTAAAGTATTGCCACAGCTGCGAGTGACAACTCAGCCACTTATGAGGTCAAGTGACTCGTCATCCTCCTCTTCTTCTTCCTCCTCACCATCCTATATTAAAAGAAGGAAATTAAATAACTGTTGGTGGGTAGATGATGACAAAGGAAACTCCCAATGAAAAAAAGAAGAAAAAAGAAGAAAAAAGAAGAAGAATAATACTTATAAAGAAAAAAAAAACTTTAAAAAGAAATAAGGTGGTGGTCCAGAAACCTCAGTTTTATTATAGAAGGTTTTTGAGTTTTCATAATTGGCCTTGAGTCATGGTGCACATTACAGTACTGTTATAATATATTGCATGAGAGTTGTGAGCTTATTTGTAATTGTTACTATTATTTTGTTGGTGGGTATAGCCATTTCATCTATGGCTTTTCATATTCTCAAAGGAGGGGGATTTTGTGGGAAAGTGAGAGAGTGACAGATAGAGATAGAGAGAAGAGAAGTATACAGAGATGCAATTAATTGTTTGGTTGTATAAGGATGGAAGAAAGATGTGGGAACTGGAAACCCAAACTTGTGTTGGTTATTGTTGAAAGGGCAGAACAGAACATTGTTGTGGGACATTGCTTGAATGCATTGAAAGTAAAAACAGAGTTTCTCAGAGCTGTTATATCAATTGGGTTGGCATAAACATAGTGGTTTAAAACATTGGAGTTAGAGCTATTTCTTTTAATAGTATATTTCTAAGTCAAGCTCTATATTTTGGACAGTATGCTTTCTTCTTTCATCTAGCACAAGTCACTTTTGATGGGAGGGGATCCCACACAGATAAAAAAAATGGTAGCAGAAGCAGTAATAAGTTGAAGCTGGTGCATTGTGTAGACTTTTGGTGCGTGTGTGTACGTGTGATTTTATTTTTGGCGGGAATTTTTTATTTTTGTTTTTGGTTTTGGCCTTGAGCTTTGGCCTAACTATATACAGGACCCATTGCCTGGTGTCCAATGCGTGTTACGGAAACACGTCTCTATAGTTTTTATTTGTTTTGGATTTCTTTCATTTGTTTTCACCTCTTTCATATTTGGCCTATTTGGCTTTAGCATAAGTAAAAAAAAAGGTTTTTGGAGCCTTTTTTCCTGTGTGATAATGTGTATTGAATTCACTAATATAAATATTAATTTTATAATATCTTTTCACATATCTCTTTAATTCCTTTCCTTCTATATATCTCGGCTTCTTAATTGACTTTTGAAAATGAAACATTAGGTTGATGGAAAGATTCATCAGATGTAATGTAATCTGCACATGAATCCTATTGGAAGATCCTTCATTGTATGGTAATGGTTCATTCATATCTTGAACTTATTATCCACAACAACATAACTAGATACTAGATCCATGTTTAGAATCACTATAATAAAATTTACAGAGAGTCCAAACATTTAGATTTTTCTTTTGTTTCTATTATACTGAATTGAAAACAAACTTTAACACCATATCTGGAGTCTAGTGAGGCATGAGTCATGAGTCATGACTATGAAGTTGATGCACTCCTTGCACCTTGGTCCCGCAGCAATAAAGAGGTACATTGAATTATTAGTGACTATGACTCTCAAATAACTAGTTCCTGCTCGTGAACTCTCTCCAGGCTGTTTCATTATGGTACATTCTACCAATCACTAGCCCCCTGAAATTTCCGACAGGTCTCTGTTTTTTCATTCATCTATTCACTCATTCAGACATAGATCTTCACATGAGGAACATTTAATTTGACCACCCAAACATTTTTCAACCTGTACATCAGATTCCTCTTATCCAACAAATATTTCATTGTAGTACAATGAAAGAAGAGCAGCAGCTACCTAAACAGCTAGCTTTTGAACCTTTATTCCAATTAACAATAATGTCAATTACTACTAGTATAGATTAAAATTTACAAATCTTAAATTGTTAAAAGCAACAGATCTTGAAAAAGTTACTTTAGTACAGAATTTATTCTCTACAGATGCTTAATTAAAGGTTCAAGTTATATAGAGAACTTGTCATTTAGCCCCAATCCCCGACACAAGGTATATTATTTTTTACATACAACAACAATAGCACATAGCACCATAGCTTTATTCCCATGTCTTAGCAGAAAAAAGTAACCATATATGCATGTTAGGCATTTGTCTTGCACTCTTATCATCACATCCTTTGCATGACATCCATATGGCCACTGATTCGATATCCCATGTTCATCAAACACAGATGGACCATACTGAAGAAAAATATATCAACATAGTGACAATTTAACCTCAGTACTTATTTCTCTCATTGCTCTTGGATGCTTGCTCTGTATAATTGATTTTTATGCATGAATCAAGGACAGTTATTATTGGACCACCTTATGTTGATTTACTGTACACTACTACAGGAAATTTCCTTTCATTATGAATTGTAACTTTTTTGCCTTTTATGTCTCAAATAGGATTTCCACATCCTCGTATTCAAGACGCAAAATCTATATTCATACTAGTACTATATACTATACTAATTCTAATTCTGCTTTATGAATGTCTTTAAGGATACTTCCTAGCTCCAAAGTGGATCCCCCAATCAATTGTCTTATTTCTTAAGACTTGTCAATTTGTTGATTAAAGGTAAAGCAGTTGTTAAATCAATGAATGCAATATTGCAATATGTAAAAAATGTGGGAGCCATGAAAAATACTAATATTGATTAGTGCGATATTAATTAACAAAATTAGTCATTGAAGATTATTCTGATCAACCAATAACAAGATAAATCCAGAGGCTCCTCTTCAAGTTCACGTGCGACAATTTTTTTGGATTGTAATACAAATCCAAAAGCATTATTTGTAACTTGTAAGATTAATGAGACAGATATTAAAACAAGCCGCCGAGTAGAAAGATAAAACTTGTATTAAAATATTAATTATCATAGACACAAACATGGCCCATTTTCTTAACTCTTCCCATCAAAAGTAATGCACGTGTATAAGAGTATTGATTTGGTTGCTATTTTTAACCTTGATTGTACATCGATACACAACTAGATTATTAGATTAAAATTGACACTTTAGTTAAACCTTTCCAAATTTTCTTCCTCTTGAAAGATCAACTAAGAGTTTCAAAAATTAGGTGAAACATAAAATTAAAGATGTGACTTGAACTAAGAATATTTATGTGGATGTGGATCCCTTCCAATGACATGAGAGGGGAATAAGATCTGGACCCTTGAACAAAAAAGTGAGAACAATTTTTAATACGAAAAATGACATTTTGATTTAAAAAGGTAAAGATTTAAAACATATCAGAGAGCAAGAATATTATGTTTTTAGAGAATCCAATTTTGGGATTTTTTTTTCTTCGTATTTTATGTTATGAACTGGATTTTTAGGGTATCTGGCTGTACATACTTATGTTTCTTTTATCAATCATATTTAGGGAGCTATTGAAAATGTATTGATTTTTGTTGGGGTGACTTTTAATGAGTTAGATGATTTATCTAACATCAATATTTTTTTTTATATGGTTACTACATGACATGAAAAGTGAATCTTGTAAATTATATAAATGAGATTATTTAATATCTTAATATTTTTGATGGATATATAGGGTCAAATTATCTTTGCAGGAACGTTCTTAGTTCAATGTGATGGTCTCGCGAGCTTTCTTTGACAATTCAAAAGGGGTATTAGAGGCGCAAACATATAAAAAAGAAAGGATGAATTCATAATTTAGGAAGAGATTGTGAATCAAGTGAGTAAAAATTTCACATTGTAGAAATATGGATTTTGGAATATATATATATATATATATATATATATATATATATATATATATATATATATATATATATATATATATATATATATAAGACGACTCAGACTTACAATTTTCGATAGAGATGTGACGTCAAATTATCTTTGTAAAGTTTCTCTTATATTACTATGATGATTCTTGAGCTCCTCTCATGGTATGTGTTCCGCTTTGAAACTAGATGATGATAAGATGAATTCACGGTTTGTTGTGGTAGTTTAAGGTCTCTGATGCGGTGGAGAGGAGACTGACCAACAAGATTAATACTCCAAATACTCAAGTCAGTAAGACTGACCTGTGAAGTGGAACGTTTTCCTCATTAAATAGGGATAATATTTTATAATTGCACGCATGTGAAACAACGTAGGATGCTGTCAACCATTAGATTGATTTGGGGTATTAGCATGACAAATCTCGTGAGAAGGTATTCAGCGAAGTGGGGGGAAAAGGGTGTGTCTACCCTTCACATGGTAACTTTCTACCTCCTAATTGGGCATTTCTCTCTAAGCCTTGCGGTCGATCCAAAATAGTTGCCCCCAAACCCTAGTCTTTACTTTGCAGGGCGAGATTTTGTGATGCACATCACCGCTTGACCATCAGATATATGGCCGCGAAAGTCCTAGATGAGATATTTCTAATCCTGGGAATGGACACATTTAATTCCTTTCTTGGAAGTTGTAAAGCAACGATAGTAGTGATTGACACGCCTTTACTCACTAGATAGAAATGAATCTTCTCCTTTAGAGTGCCTGAGTGCTTCAAAATCGTTTTTGAGGAGATCTCAATCGTTGGTAGTGCGTAGTGGATCATACGATCCTAGGGACCTAAATAGAGTATAAAAGATTTTTAAAGCGTTCCCTTTCGTTTTTTTCTTTAAAATATCTACCAAAAAAGTGTTTTTTCCCTATATTGTTATTTCTTAGGAGTGTTTCATTTTGGTGTTGAATCAAACTCAATAATTTTGCTTGGTGTAATTGGATTTGAATGTTGGATTGATCCTTTCTTCTAAGCTAGAAGTCTAGGTTTTCCTTTGCTCTTCTGTTCCTTGGCTTGGGATTTCAAGACAACGGTCGCTCAAACATCACTGCAGATACACACATTTTTCTAATAATATATATTATTTGATCATGGTAATAATATCAATTTCGACCAAGAAAACTAGTAAGGATATTTCAGGAGATTTGGTGTATCCCAATGTGTACCCCTAATTTTGCCCTCAAATTTTACTCAAGACATGCCCATTGAGGTCCCCAATTTGCCCAAGGATGACCAAGAATTGACCAGACAAATTCTCCTCCTAAGGCAATAAACCTCTAACTAGGGTTTCAATTTTCATCAAGATGTGTGAGTTCCAATGGTG